CAGGGATGCCAAGGCCCTGTATGAGTCTCCCACTTTCCTACCTCCCCTTGTCCACCTCTCCCTTCTCCTCTGACAGCCCTTTGGCTCCCTTTCCTTCCTCTATCATGCCACGGTCCTCACTACCACAGGGACTTAGCACATCCTTTTTTTTTTTGACTCAAATGCTGTTCCACCACCCATTTCACCTAGTTTATACCTAGTCATTCTTCATATCTCAAGTCTGAAGATACTTCCTCAGGGAAGCCCTCCCTGACTGCTCTAGATTACGTCAGTTCAACCCCCCCCACACACATTGCTCAGTCCAAGAACCATGTACTTTCCTTTCTTAGCACTCATTTGTATCATAATTTATTAGGGTAACTGTCTGATTAATGTCTGAGTCCCCATTCACTCTGAGGACTCATTCACTCTGTCCCAGAGCCTGGTACATAGCGGATGCACTCTAAGTATTTATCGAATGGATGAATACAGGCTGGGACAAAAGTAGGTTTACAGTTGTGAGTACATGACACACAGTTTATTCTTGTATTATTATTTATTAATTATTGTATTATTTTCCATAAGAACAACTGTAAGCCTACTTTTGCCCCAGCCTGTATTGTTGTTACAACTGCTCTGCTAAATCCCTCCACTGGCACCCAGGGTGGCCAGGGAGGTGTGCTGCTCAGGTTTCCCTCCCAGAGAGCCTGCTATGGTTCTGCCGCCGCCTTCCAGCTGAGGCCACGGTCCTCCTGGGCCGCTCCCAGCCAGGGCCTGAGCACAGCGGGGCCCTAAGGATGGGGCAATTTTGCCCAACAAAAGACTTCTCTAATGGGCCTTTTTTTTTCTGGGGCTACGCACTGGCCTGGCCAAGACTTTCTCAGATTTGCTGTTCCAGTTATCAATTTATTGCCTCTCAATTCCAAATTCACCCTTTAGTGCCTGCTCTACGATACAGAACTGGACTCTGAGCATTGCCTCCCTTACAGTGAGATGTTGAACTTCGCCAGAAGAGGGTGCTGGAGGGGACATTTCAGGAGGAAAGAGGCTTGGCTTTCTGGTTCTGGGTGTGTGTGTGTGTGTGTGTGTGTGTGTGTGTGTGTGTGTGTGTGTGTGTGTGTTCTTGCTCCTGCTGTGTGGTAGGTCAGCAGTGCGTGAGGACATCTGGTGCTGATCTGCCGCAGCCATGAGCAGTCTGTCAGCAACCTTGCAGCCCTCAGGCCTGGTGTCCATCTTCTTCCTCCTAACTCAGGTACATGCCATACAGTCTTGGCCTCACACCTGCAAAGGTGCCCCAGTTCCCCCACCCACCAGCCTCAGCTCCCTTGGGCCTCTGAGGACTTCTAACCTTCCTTGCCCAGTGACTATGGACCAGCTGTGGCCCAGCCAACCCAGCAAAATTCTCTGCCATCTGGTGGGCTTCAACCACACCTTCTCCAATGAGGTCACCCCCCTTCCAAATCTGTCCTTCCTTGGGCATGCTCCCTAGGATACCCTTTAAAGTTATCTTTATATCTTTATAGTTACTCTCTTGTGTAAACTTAATAATTCTTTAAATAGCCCCTATTAAGTTACTGTCTCCTGGTTGGACTTAGAAACAGTGCACAGAAGGCCAAGGCTTTTCCTACCCAATCCTTCCTTCCCTCTCTCCTTCCACAGCCGTCAGGCCTTCATCACAGCCTAGGGTCTCGCCACCTGCTCCTTCCCGTCTCCTCTATCCTTCACAGGTGTAATCCCAACAAATCTCAGGACATCTTTCATTCTTTCTTGGCATTTGTTTCTCAGAGGATGTGGACTGATGCAACTTCCCATCACACCTAGAATAAAATCCCGAGGCTTTATATAATCTGCTTTATGGCCCAAGACCAGCTCTCTCCCCCAAACACACCTTCCTGCTACTCCCCAGGTCATTCTACTCCAGTCACTGTGGGTGGCCTCCTTGAAGTTCTGCAAACATACAAACCAGAATCCCACCCCAGGGTCTTTGCACTTGCTGCTCTGTTTTTGATACAAGGCTTGTTTCTTCATTTCATTAGACCTCTTCTCAAATGCCACCTCCTAAGAAGCCATCACCCACCACCTCCAATTGCCCCTTAACTCTGTCCCTTTATCCTGCTTTGTTTTGTTTCTTTATAGCACTTAAAACCATGTCACATACTATATATTATACTTATTTACTTTTCTGTCTCCCCCTCTAAAGAAATGTCTCCTCCATGACGCCAGAGACTGTCTGCCTTGTTCACTGCTGCATCCTCAAGGCCTGGGTTAGTAAGTACCTGGCATACAGTAGATACTCAGTAAGTATTTGTTACTTGACTGAATAAAGGAGTGTCCTTGCCTTTCTTTGCTCAAGCCATTTCCTCCACCTGGAATGCTTTCCCTTCTCCTTCCTGCCTTTCCTAATCCCTTTAAGACTCAGCCCTAGACCCTACTCCTCCAGGAAGCCCTCCCTGAGAAGCTGGGCTCTGAGCTCCTAGATAGTGGCTTGTTCTTGCCCCTCAGCTACTATACTGCCTAATGTTAGGTATAATGTAGGCTTTATGTTAGGTAAAGACTGAGGTTGAGATTCAAGGCAGAAGAGAGCAGGCTGGCTTTATTGGGGTGAAGGAGAGGGGAAGGGGTGCTCCATAGGCTCTGGGCCAGGGTGGAGCTGCCGGGAGAGCAGCCTGGGATGTGGGATGCAGTGTCACTTCTTCCACTCCTTCTTCTCATAGTCCCACCGGGAGGCCAGGCCTTGCACAGGGTTGCCCTTCATATCCAGGATGCGCTGGAGCTGCTGGGCCTTCCGCTCATCCGTCAAGGTGATGGGCTTCTCAGGGAACACTGCAGGGAAGGCATGGGGGAGGGACAGGGGCAGTTTGGGACCCTACCAGGTTCGCCCTATCCCACTGAGCCAAGATCCCCAGTGACAGGATTAGGGTGCCCTGCATGGAGGAGCTCCCTCCACCCTGTCTGCCCCCCCCATTAGACTCTCTAAAGCTTCACTCCACAGACTTCAGTGTTCTGATCCCCACTCTGCCTTAGCTTCGCTGTGGGAACTGGGCCAAGGTCCTTCCCTCCTAAGCCTTTCTTCACCTGCTGTGTGGCCCAATGGTAATAGGAGCACTGGTTTGAAGTCTGTCTGGATCCAAATCCCAGATTCACCACTCTCTTGCTGGGTGGCCTTGAACAAGTCACTTTGTCTCTCTGAGACTCAGTTTCCTTGCCTGTCAAAATCAGGTCCTATTCACTAGGGTTGTGGGGATTAAATGAGAGACTATTTATAAAACAATTTGCATAATGTGGGGCAGATATGAAGCCCCTAATACTTGGTAGCTACTATAATTATAATTACTAAGTTTGCTCCCACTTATTGGGAGGAGTCCAGGAAGAGATAGTTTCTGTTACTTCCTGGAGGGGGTTGGGAGTAGGACATAGGATAGGGGTGTTCACTTTAAAAACCTGGGGAGGCCTGGTCAGTTGCTTGGTTTGTTGGAGTGTTGTCCCATGAGTCAAAAATTTGGGATTTCGATCCCTGGTTGGGGTGCGAACAGAAAGCAGCCGATTGATGTTTCTCTCTCTCCCTCTCTTTCTAAAATCAATAAAAAACATACCCTCAGGTGAGGATTAAAAAAAAAAAAATCTGGTGAGGACAATAGTTAACCCAAAGGCTGAAGCACTCATGGGGCATTTTAGGTGCCTTCGTATGTGGAGCAGGGAAGGACTGGGGCCCACATCATCCAGCACCACTCACACCTTACTTCCTGGTCCATCTGCCCCTGAGGCTGACTCACCTGCCTGAAATCCATCCCTGATACTTTCTATCCCAGTGGGTGGCCAAGAAAGAAAAGATTTTTATGGGTACCTATTAGTACCAAACATTGGGCTAGACCAGAATTTTTCCCAAAGGCTCTCTCATTTCATTCTTATGCAAGGTAGCAATTCCCATCACACTTTTACAGAAGAAACAAGGTGATGCCACTAGACGTAAAGTCAACCGACTGCAGCTCTTCTTCAATATCCTCTCCCTTCTTCCAGAGCAGTCTTCTCAAACCTGAGTGGGCACCAGGATCACCTGGAGGGCTGTTAAAACACCGATTGCTGGGCTCCAGTGTCTGACTCAATAGATCCAGAGCGGGGCTGAGAATTTGCATTTCTAACAGGTGAAGCTATTGGCTCTGGAACCACACTTTGAGAATCACCCTTCTATAGCAATGGATGGTTAGTGGGTATGTGACAGCCCTGCTAAAGACTACATTTCCCAGCTTCCCTTGCGGCTAGACGCGGTCGCATGATCATTTCTAGCGAACAGAATGAAGTGGTGAGCAGAAGCCGTGTGTGTGTGTGTGTGTGTGTGTGTGTGTGTGTGTTTGTGTGTGTGCAGAAGCCGTGTGTGTGTGTGTGTGTGTGTGTGTGTGTGTGTGTACCCGAAAGAGGAGTTGTGCCCTCCCTTCCCCTCTTCCTCACTTGAATGTAGGCTTCAGCTGGAGCCAGAGTAGCCACAGTGTATGTCACAACGAAAGCTACATGTTAAGGATGGCAGAGCAACAAGACACAAGAAGCCTGACATTGTGGGGCACGCGTACTTCCCATGGCCTTTCTGTGTGACAAGAACAAAACATTTATCTTGTTTAAGCTCTTGTATGTCGGAGACTCTTTGTTACAGCAGCTGAAACAATGTACTGAAAAATTCACACTTAATAACAGCCAGCTGGAATATGCCTTCCTTTGGATGGCCCTCCAGGATTCTTTCCCTCTCTCCTTGGGGTCCTCACGTACCCTCGAACCTACCTCGCCCTAGGCACATATCCTGTGTTATAGTAACACCACCATTCATAACTATGTGTGGGCACTGGCCTACAGCTCTTTCTTATTAAAACCTCGCAAGAGCCCTGAGATGTGGGCACTATTATTCCCATTTTACAGATGAGGGAATTGAGGCTCCGAGAGGTAGAGTCCCTATATTCCCACTCAGGCAGCTGTGCTCTGAGTCTTCACCCTCCCCCTCTTTGGGGGACTTTTCAAAATCTTCAGATGAGTACCAGCATAGCTCCCTTATAAGAGCTCGGCTGGTGGCTGTGGCCACAAGGGCATGGCCCAGCGCAGCAGCCAAGTGAGATGTTCCCACTCACCATAGACTCGCTGCCACCAAATCAGCAGAGCTGTAAATCCACAGAAGAAGAAGACACAACCCATCACGGTCTTCCACTCGTTGGAGCGACGATTCATCTCTGCGAAGGTCTCATGGAACTGGATCCTGTACACTGGATGCAGGTAAGGGGTGGGGGAGGGCCTCAGGTGCAGCCATTTCAAGGACCTCAGGCCAGCTCTTGGTCTCAGGGATCTCTAGCCTTCCCCTACCTGCAGCAGATGCTGTCCATTCAGCACATTCTTACCAAGCATCTACTGTATGCAAAGCATAGCCAGGAAATGGTAACAAGGCTCCAAATATTAGAGTCAGCCCGGGGCACTTCTGGTGGGCAGAACCTGGGGTCACACATCCCCCCCTGCTCCCCAAGGTCAGGCTTCTGCTCCCCACCCCATCTCGCCTGCCTCTCCCTGCTCTGTCCCTCACACCACTCAGTGGTGCCAGATCCCTCCATGCTCTCCTGCTCCCATCTTTCCCCATGCTGTTCCCACTACCTAGCAGCACCCGCCTCACCATTCAAGGCCAGCTGGAATGTGCCTTCCTCTGGATGGCCCTCCAGGACTCCACCCTCTCTCCTTTGGGTCCTCACAGACACTTGAACACACCTCAACCTAGCCACATATCCTGCCTGGGTTTGTGTCAGTTCCCCCACGGGACTGGGAGCACCCTGATGGCGGGAACCACCTGGGTGATTTGCTCCTGTGTCCCCAGCATCGTCTTGCATCAGACTGTGCACAATAGTTGAGTGAATAAAAAAATGAACAAATGCATGCACTTCTGCCCTTGGGTATGTATTCAGGTATTTGGGGGTTTCTGGCTGTTGTGGGTGGGGGCTCCCTGACAGGCCCTTCTTTGCAAAGCCAACCGCAGCCCACACTCCCAGCCAGGCCCCCTCTGAGACCTACAGGCCACCTTCTCGTCAGGGCTCAGCTGGGTCCAGCTGCCCTTCTCCTTCTCCTTCAGGGCCTGCTGCTCAGGGCTGAGCTCCGTGCAGAAGGGCTCATCTGGCATGGGGTAGGAGCGCTGGGCGTGGTAACTGGTGTAGGGGGTCATCTTCCCCTTGCTGTGGGCTGTGGGCACAAGGGAGGAGCTGAGTTAAGGCTGCCCCTGAGATGTTCCAGCACTAACCATAATATTACCAGAGAAGGCTGCATTTATTGAGCACTTATTGTGTGCCAGGAGCCATTCTAAGGCCTTCAGGTGAGCTGACTCATTTACCCCGCATCACTCTGAGCCAGGTGATGCTGTTATCTCCATTTTACAGATGAAGAAACTGAGCAACAAGTGACTTGCTGAAATTCACAGAACCAGAAGGACCAGGGCCAGGGCTGCAATTCAGCCGCCCCCCCCCCACCCCCGCTTCAAATCTCATGTTCTCTGGGAAGATCCGAGGTAAAGAGGGCATGTCAGACAGAGGCAGTGGGTGAGCAAAGGCTCATGAGATCGACCTGAGCTGACAGATGGGAAACTGCTCTGCAAACAGTAAAACAATATCCGTATGCCTTTAATGAGGGATCAAGGGCAGTTTCGGAGTGGGTTTGAAAGTGAGTTCCTCCCCACCCCATCCCCTTTACCTCACTGTGCTTCAGTGTACTGGTGCACAAGAGATGCTCTGTAAATTATACTGATAGGTAGAGAGGTTGGTTTACTGCTGGCTTCTCTTCCTAGATGCTCTCCCTGATGGCTAAGCCCGCAGGGCTCTGTGTAAGTGTCCAGGAGAAAAGGCTGGGCACTAGGAGAGTCTCAACAAAGCTTCTGTTTATCATCATCAGAGATGCCCACAAGAACAGCACTGGTATGAACTTGCCAGGATAGCACTGGAACTGCTTTGAGCAAGGAGTCCTGGCTCTTTGAATATCTAGGTCTCTGGGCCACAGTTTGTTCATCTGAGAAATGGTGATAATAGTACAGCCCTCACCTCACATGGCTGTCATGAAGTCTAAATGTGTTAATCTGTACAAAATGTCTATCACAGCTAGGGGTACATAGAAAGGGCTCAATAAATGTTATTTATTTATAAATAAATAAGCCAGTAAATCAATCAATCAACAATCAATCAATCAATCAATCAATCAGAAAAGCCCTTCTGCTATCTGGCTGAAGTCTTTCCTGCTTTAGGCTTTTTTCTTCTGACTAGCACTGACACCAGGGTCTGGAAAGGAGGTCCCAGGTTCTGTCAGCACCTCCACCTCAGGACACAAAGGCCTCAGGGGCCTAAAGTGTAGGGTTCAGGCCCTGAGGAAGCTTGGGTTGCAGGAGCTCCATTTCCTGGCTCCAGGAGTGGGATTGTGAGAAATGGTTTTGGGGTAGGTCCCGCATGGAAGGGACAGGGGCAGCCTGCAGAAGGACCCCTGCCCCTTGCCTTGGAGTTAGGCAAAGGAGGAGGGTGTCCAGGTCTTACCGGTGTCTCCCGGGCTGTGTATCCCTCGCATTCCAAGTCCCCGCTTCCTCAGCACCAAGCTCCAGGCAGCTCTAAAGAACATCTGGGCGGGGGGTTGTGAATGAGCCCCCACGTTGCTCTCTGCCTCTACTCCTTAGGGCCCAGACAGAGAAACAATTTTCACAGGTGTGGTGGCGGTGGGGTTCTAGAATTTCAAGGTCACCCTTCTAATTTTGTCTGATATCCATCCAGGGGTAGATGGGGGTCCTAGACATTTGGAGCTCCCTCCTGGGACCTCAATTCACCATCTGGAAAGTGGGAGGAAACCTAATTCTTAAGGCAGGGTCTGAATAGTTTGGGGCTAGGGGCTTGGGTCCTTCCTGCTTTCTGCCCGAGGGCTCAGCCTGGTCAGGTTGGGAAACCTCCCTGGGTTGTTTGCCCCCCAGAGGAAACGGGGTGGGAGTCCAGGTAGGGAGGAAGCAGGTCCTGGGGCTACCTCCCTTCCCTACAGGGCCGCCTGCCAGGTCTCTGCCAGCTGGTCTGGCCCCCACCTCTCCCCCCTCTAATTGGCTGCCTACGTGCAGGGAGAGCTTGCTCTGCTGGTCTAGTGGAGGAGGGGGACAGGATGAGCCCAACCCCCATGGGGTGGGGAGTCTCAGGGACTGACATCCATGGGGGTGGGGAGGGACTTCAGAGGACAGAACCGAAATCTGTCAGAGAGGAAAAGGAGCACACATCTGGAGAGAGAATGGGGGTATCCCACTTCTGGAAAGAGAAAGTGCCCCCCCACACCTGGGGGGGGCACCCAATAATTAGGAAGTGGTATACCATGTTTGGTAAGTGGGAGGGGGCCCCCACATTTGGGAAGGAAGGGCTCCCCATCAGTGATAAGTAGGTGGGATAGCCCCACATATGGGGAAAGGGAAGGAGTAATTTGCGTTTGGGGACAGATGGCGCCCCATATGCAGACAGAGGATAATTACCCAGGAGTCTCCCCTTTCATGGCAGGGACCACATGGGGCCGGAGTCCAAGTCGCATGCCCCACTCTCCCTGGCTTGAGAAGTGGGGGCTCTCCCAACCACTTACCTCGCAGCTCTGCTGCAGGGGGAGCGAGACCCAGGTCGGCTGAGGGCTGAGTGAGTAATGGAGAATGGGCTGCAGAGGGACCAGCTCTGGCGCCAGCCCCTGGGCCCGCCCCGAGCCTTTCCCAGTGCCTCCCCTGCGTGGGAACGTGGGAACGTCCTGCCCCAGAGGGGCGTGGGAGCGCCCAGCTCACCTCCCTGAGGGCTCCGAGCCACGGCCTGGAGAGAGGGACTGCAGAGTGACTCGCCGCCCACGGGAGTCCTGCCTCTGGAGACCCCAAGCTGACTGCATCCTAGAACACAGCTGGCCGTGTGTCCTGGATGGACCCAGGAGCTGGATCTTCCTGCCTCCACACCTTTGCTCACTGCTGTTCCTTCCACCTGAAATGCTCTCTTAGGGCCTTTGCCGACCCAAGTTTAATTCCAACTTTTCAACCCAGGCCCAATGCCTCCTGCTCCAGGAAGCCCACAATTACCTAGAATCTGGAACTGGCATGTGGTGTACTACTTCACTCCCACACCCCCATACCCAATGAGAGGTGAAAAAAGCCTCCCTCTGAGGTTCAAATCATAGCTGTGTGGCCTTCAACATGTGGCCTAACCTCTCTGAGTTCCTGTTTTCTTTTCTATAAAAGGATTTAATGATAGTTTCTACCTCACAAGACTATTATAAAGATTAAGTCAATAGAAAAACATCAAACACATTTATTCAATAATTGTTTATTAAGACATATTACAGCTGGCACTTATTGAGTATCTATTGTTTACCGGTCTAAGATATAGGGCCAAACAAAACCAAGCACAATCTCTCCCCTTATAGGGCTTCCAACCCAGTTCCAAGCAGAGAAAAAGGCCTGTGCAAAGGCCCAGAAGCAGAGAAACACAGGTGTATTCAAAGAACAGAGAAAGGCGATCTTGGCCAGCACGTACTGGGCTAACGGGAGAGTAGAAGTGGGGTTGGACCACAGAGCAGGGCCTCACAGGCCATGGAATGGGTCTTAGATTTTATTTTAAAGAAAGAAGGTCACCAAAGGTAAGTAGGGGAGTGATGTGGTTAAATGGAACAGAGCATGAGTTCAGTAAATGTGGTCTGGGTTTGTTAGAATACTGACCATGGACTGATGGGTGAAAGCTGTGGGTCACTGCTGTGACCTGGGACCAGAGATTTCTAGGTCTCAAAGCTCTGGGCCCATGAGGTGTGCCCACCCATCCTTCAGGGTTTTTGTAGCCCAGTGAGGCCATAGGGACCCACTCCAGCCAGTGTCTGGAGATAGAGGCTTAGTCCGCAGGGGGCAGATGAGCCTAAAACAGGGACTCAAGGGAAGGTGATAGAGAAACCAGAGTGGGTAGGATGGATGCCACCTTCATTCTGGAGTAACAGTATGTGCCTGTTAGCAGTAACAGGCACAAAGCTGTGAGAAGGCAGTGTAGGAGTTTCCTGAATCTCCAAAAGACCCCCAGCTCCCAGGAGTAGCCAGGGTTACTCCTGGAATCTGCTCCCCCCCCCTCCCGTTCTGCATGACTAAGGAAATTCCAGATTTGAGAGACCCCTGAGAGAGCCAACCACCTTGCTTCTTGGATGCTGACCAGGGTGTCCTGAAGAGTATGAGGGAAGGCTCTTCTTCAGGGAACCTGGGGAGAGCACCCCTTGAGTCTTGTCTGAGTTTTCCAAGGACAGGTGGGTGCTGACTGCCCTGGAGTGAGTGGTTGATGTATATGTAGGCTCTAGTGCTGAGGAGCTGGTGGCCAAATGGCATCATTTCTGGGCCTCAGTCTCCCCATCCCTCAGTGGGCCTCCCAAGGGAAGGCATTTGGGGGTGGAGAACCTCTGTTCTGCCCTGCCTTTTCCCAGCCTTGCCTCTGTGGGAACCACAGGCCCTCCAGGCCACAGATGTGGGGCAATGCTGTGATAAGGAACAGCTGTTGGGGAAGCTGGCCCCCAGGGCTGAGGGGGATGGGATAGAGGCAGGCCCCGGGTGGCTCAAAGTTGATACAGGGCAGAACAACCACTTGTGGGGCGATGTGGAGCACCGTCTGGAGGTCCTAGACCTGGGAATTGTCAGACTCTCCCTTAAGGCAGGTATCTCAGGGGTTCTGGGGCCAGAAACAGGAGTCTTCCCTGGAAATCTTGTTGGGCATAGAGGGGAGGGGCTCTGACTGGGCCATTACAGGCCACTCACGGCTCCGGCTGAGGCTGCAGGGGATGCAAATGAGGCTGACATTGCGGGAAAAGCAGGGACAGTATGTGAGAGGAATCCGTCCCTCTCCCTCTGGCCCTGCCGCTGCGACCCTCCAGCTCTCACTCACTTGATCAGATCCAGGGAGCCCCCGAGATTCTGCCCAGACATAAAGACCTCAGCCAAGGCCTCGGCATCCTGCCGGCACGACTCCTCCCTCCCCCCCAATTCAGGCTTCACGCAGGATTCACTTCGGGCCCCTCAGCCCAGAGGGGATACCTAAGAAGGACCTAGACCTCCTGCAGGATCCGAAGGCGAAAGTAGGAAGAGGTGATGGACGAAGCGTCGCGAACCTCTGTCCCCAGCCGCTGGAGGAGGTCTGGGACTGGAGGAGCCGGGCCGCTAAGTGCAGGGGCGGGGCCAGAGATGAAGGGGTGTCAATCAGGGATAGAGGGGCAGGGAAAGGCAGGGGTGGGCGAGGCTTATCCTTGGGGCGGGGACTGCAGTGTAAGGGCGGGGCCAGGACGCAGTGGGGAAAGGGGTGGGGCCAGTTGGGCGGAGGGCGGGGCCTGTGAGCGGGGGCGTGGTCAGCACCTGGCCCGAGGCCTACCCGGCTCACTAGCGGACGCTCTCGTCCGCGCGCGCTGTGACTCCGCAG